TATGGAATTCGTTCCGGAGCAAAGGTTGTTTCAACGAGACAGTTTTAGGAATAGTAACAAAAGTTCTCTTGATACATCTTTAAAAAAATAAAATAAAATATATTGTAACATGACAAATAAGGTGCAATTAATCTGGAGGTGACAGTATTCATTACAAAAGTTAAAAGTGAGTAATTAATGATTTTTCGGTCCGCGAGTGACGGAGGAAAAAAGCGTCGATAATAACTCGAGGACGTCGCATCGATCCACTCTATCGTCTATAGTACTAATCATGGCAGATGAAAAATTCAAATGATAACAAACGAACCGTTTAATGATTACGTGGACGTGAATTAATTTTGAATCTTAAGCTTTTGAAGCTCAAGCAATCGCAATTCGGTGGTGGCGAGCTCGCTTTTTAAGAACGTTGATCAAGAAAATGAAAAAAAGAGAGACGGAAGAGCAAGTAAGCCATGAAACATTCATCGTTTTATCTTTGACTCATGAAGGAAAAAAAGGCGCGGCGAAAATCGCTCTCGGCAGCATGAAAGAAAAATAGGAAAAGCTTCGCGGTTCTCTCCTCCTCGCGCGCGGAGCTTCCGCATGAATGTTTGAATAAGGTTCCGGAATAAGTTCTTTTCGTTGGGCGCTAGGGCTTCTAATCTCTGGCCCTCGATGTCTTCAGAAGAGCAGGCAGAGACGACGTACCGCATACTATTTCCGTGGCTTTTTCACGCGACTTTTCCCCCGGTTAGTTTCGCCCCTAATTTTAGCCTCGCGTTTAATCGCTCCGTGGCAACGATTTTCCCCTTCGACAAGTTATAGAGTCTTCTTTGTCTAACCAGGAGTTCGTACTGATGGCAAATTTCACTTAACAGGCCTTCCTTTCAATATATTAACAAAATTTCTAACTTCAGCCGAACTATGCGTGGACTTATTTTCATTTTCGAACGAGTTTATTAGCTAAAGCATTGTCATTGAAAAGAACGATTAACTCGGTAATAAATATTGTACATAAATTATATACAGCGCCCTTCACTTAAACAGTCTTGGATAAAAATTTATAAATGTATATTCATTTCAAAGGAAGAAATTGTGGTCAAAATTCTTGCTTAATAGTTAGATTTATTTACAATATGAATTAGTAAATGGCATCTGGAAATGGAAAATACATTGTTATTCTAAATACCAGAGGCTTTCAATTTCCACATGAATAGCCTTTTGTCATAGTTAGTTGATACTTTGCAATAGATTACAAAAGAAATATATGTAACAATTCTACATTTCATAATTTTACATATCTGTGATATTTTATTCATGTTACACACACTTTACTAGGAAATACTAGTTTAAGCTAGTCAAGTGAACAGCATTTTATCAACATAAATTATTGTCTTGAAACATCCGAGGAAATGTGTAGATTAAGAAACTACTGAGGTATTCTTCTAAATAACGAATTTTCCAAGATGTGCAGTTTTGAGGAGTCTCGCTCAGCTTCTCGGAATCTTAATTTTATGTACTCAAGAAAAATCAATGATCTCGCAGAATCTTCTATTTACATCTACCGAATATTTCCTTGAAAGCAGAAACATATATTGAAAAGACGGAGTATCTAAATTTGTATTGATAAGAGAAATCGATTATACGTGTACCGAGAAATCAAATAAAAAGCATTTCAATATTTCGAACATCCAAGATAATTGTCATGATAGACGATTAGGAAACAATTTAGAGAGAAGGATATTCACGCGCTTATCGCGATTAATGCTAATCCATGTCACTGCGAATCTCTCATCATGCAGGGATTATAAGATAATTCCAAGAATAATTTCAGGTGTAGAAAAAAGTTCTCGATTGCAAACATTTTAATGACACACAAACCGCCGCATTATCTTTTACGTAATGCTAAAAAGTGGCACATAATAATAGCAAATACGCTGCGTCACAAATTAGAATATTAAATTATCAAACTCACCGCCGATATAACACTCATTAAATATTCATACGGAGTCTGTAATATTCACGATAGACTGTAATATAATAGCGTATGCAATGTGTACACGTATATAATCTAGCATGCCTACTTCGCTAACTTCCCTCGACTGTCAGTAATTAGCGCGCCGGAAGGTTGTTATTGCCTGACATAAAAACGGCAATTTAATTTCATTAATATCAAACGTGCCAGTATTTTGTGCTTCGCGTTGTGCATCAACACGCGAAATTGTATTTCGAAAATGAAAACTGTTTTTCAATAGTGTGCAGCAAGAAACTCCAGGAGCGTCTATAGTAAAATGCATCAAATTAAAAGTTTGATTAAACCGGAATTGTGACAGAGCATGACAGAATTAATACTGTACTAAACATATGCAATTGAATTGTACATTGCAGTAACAAGTATAGCTTCTGTGGTAAATAGAAAACGTAAGAGCAGCATTATTAGCAGTTAATATATGTATATAAGTATTCATATAAATTATTACACATGTATTTCATTGGAAGTTGCTATCAAACGTATGTTAATTTTCAGAGTTGTGAAATTTAAACTTTTCAATTAATTTAGTTGCTAATTGT